TGCCCCACCATCCATCCCCAGGTCCCTGGAGCAAGGAACCCCCCGCCCCCAGTCTGTGCCTGGCCCCAGGAGCAGGGCCACCACTCCTCTGCCCCACCATCCATCCCCAGGTCCCTGGAGCGAGGGACCCCTTTCCCGCCCCCCCCCTGCCCCTGGCGGGCCCGCCCCCCCCCGCCCCTCCCCCAGTCTGTGCCTGGCCTGGGAGCAGGGCCGCCCCTGCCCCAGTTCATGCCCAGGTCACGGCAGTGGGGCTCTGGTTCCCGCCGGGCAGGTGATGGCTGTGGACTGGCACTTCGAGGACACGGACGGCAGCGAGGCCGGGGCCAAGGAGACGCAGCGCAGCATCATGGACTACTTGGCCGAGAACCACTTTGAGCTGGTCATTAACCTTTCCATGCGCAACGCTGGGGGGCGCCGGCTCTCATCCTTCGTCACCAAGGGCTACCGCACCCGGCGCCTGGCCGTCGACTACTCCGTGCCCCTCATCATCGACATCAAGTGCACCAAGCTCTTCGTGGAGGTGGCGTGGGGGCCGGCCAGCTGGGGAGGGGGCGTGGGGGGATGGGCTAGCTGGGGGGGGTGTGTGGGGGTGCGGCCTGGTTGGTGCAGGGCGGTCTGGCCGTTTGGGGGCGGGGACTGGCCCGGGGGGATCAATGTGGCTGCTGGGGAGGGGCTGCCTGGCTGTTGGGGATGCGAGAAGGCTGGCCTGGTCAGGGGCTGCCTGCCCAGGTGGGGGCACGACGCTGGTGGGGGGAGGCTGCCTGGCATGGGGGCTCCTGGAGAGGCACCGATTGCCCAGATGAACGTGTCCTGGCCCCAGGGAGCTGTGGGGCTCTGGGCCGTGGAGGAAGCCCAGCCCCAGAGCTAGCTGTCCTGTCCCAGCCCCCCGCCCCCCTTGGCTGGGTCTCTGCTCTCCCCAGCTGAGCTGCCTCCCCCGCAGGCCCTGGGCCAGATCGGGACGGCCCCCCCGCTGAAGATGCACGTGGACTGCATGACCTCCCAGAAGCTCATCCGCCTGCCAGGTACCAGGGGCTCCCGGCAAGAGAAGGGGGCGGCTGGGGGATCTTCCCCTGGCAGGGAAGCAGGGGGGAGGGGCAGGAGTGTGTGCCCCCCTCCCTGGCAGGGAGCTGTGGTGGCTCTGGGCAAGGTCCTCCGGATCCTGGGTAAATCCGGGCGGGGTGGGGAGTGTCTGCGCCCCCCCCAGTCAGTGAGAGTCTCTGGCCTGAAGCATCTGCCCTGGGGTGTGCTGCCCGGCCTGACTGGCATTGCCATGGAGCCCCGTGCGCTGCTCGGCCCCCTGGGATCCCCACCGCGTCCCTGCGCCATGGAGTGGGGGCTCAAAGCTAGGCGCCGTTACCTAGGGTGGTACTAACGCACCCCGGGTACCAGGCATTCTGGTACTTGCAGGACGGCGTGACCCTTCCCTCCCCCCCCCCC